CAACGATGGTCACACACTGAAAGGCTTTTGATGTCCTCAACGCGTGGCGATAAGTTTTTATTATTAGTATTGTAATATGGATCGCGTCGAAGCATTGTAGACTCGACCTTTAACGGATACGCTAGTGTCATGCCTACGTCACAGGTGCCGCAGGTTCACGAAAGCTACTCTGGTCTTCTTAATCCGGATGGAAATATCACCTTTCGCGAGACCACCGGGACTGACACAGCTAGCAGATAGACAAATCTTTCAACTGCATCAATCGGCTCATATGCAAGCATTAGGTTATGGTCGGAGCCCACCCAGTCTTGCCGTAGCACTTTACACTTTGCAGGTGTGAAGCGCATGCCAAACCGCGATGCGGAATTATTTGGATTTAATATCGTTTGCATAACCACGCCATCGGATCCAAGAAGAGCTACGTCGACCGCTTATGCGATCTCTTTGAGCGAATGCCCCGGGGGCACTTCGACCTCACAAGCATTAGAGGCTGGTAGTGACTTCGTATCAATGACTAAGTTGAAGAGGAATGGTGGAAGAGGACAAGCCTGCCTGATACTACTTGATGCGGTGTACTCAGACGAGAGCCTCTCGTAAACCTTCAGACGTCCGCGAGAGTTGGCGTACAGCGACTTAAGGAGGGTCAGGAATTTATGGAGACACCTTTGCTCCATAGACACTACCATAGTTCCTGGCGGTCTGCAGAGTCAAATGTAGCTTTCAAGTCAAGGAACACAACCATTGTTGATTGCTGGTAGCAGGGTCTCTGTCCCAGAGTATGCCGAAGGGTGAAGATGTGATAGATGCATCCTTTACAGGACGGAGTTCAGCTTGGTTTTTTACGATCTGCCGCTCCTTGGTTCACTCAACCTTCGAAGGATAAGACCAGAGAGGACCTTCGATGCTACAGCTACCAGGCTGACGCCACATCAGTTAGTGTCAAGGAAGGACGCTGTTTGGCGTACTTCCTCTTTAACTTCGTAATAGATATGCTACTTGAGTCTTCTTTTTCCGCTTCTAATCGGGTGGATCGAAGGATAAACCAGAGAGGACCTTCGATGCTACAGCTACCAGGCTGACGCCACATCAGTTAGTGTCAAGGAAGGACGCTGTTTGTCGTACTTCCTCTTTAACTTCGTAATAGATATGCTACTTGAGTCTTCTTTTTCCGCTTCTAATCGGGTGGATCGAAGTATTCCCGAATTATTACGTTCACTAACATCATCATCATCATAACTAATTTTAAGAACCGCGTACGTGCCATACAGTGGTTATAGCTGCCATTTTCATTCACCACTGATTTGGGAATGTGATACGTAATTGAGGAGATTGGGAGGGAAGCTATAGAGTGAAAGCAATGGCTTGGATGCGCTGGCGCCATTGAGGGTGCAACTGGGTCATGTCTAACAGTCCCTAATCCTTGATGTGCCGCGTCTCGAGGTCGCCATCCAGGGAGACGGCAATGACCAGTGCAACAGAGCTCCAGGTAGCTAAGTGGCCAAGTTGCCAGCTTGCGAATCGCTATGTCCTTTGGTTCGGAACATACCTTAGCATCTGGACTGCGCCTCTCAAGGATTGGGCAACCTGGCAGTACCCCAGCCCCCATGCCTCGTTCCGTTTGCATGGCAGCCAGGCATCGAAAGGTGATACAACTGGAAGATTATCTATTATTACACCCGCCCACCTCGGACCAGTTGAATGGACTAGCTGGAACAGATTGCGATTGTTTCCCGTTACAAGGAGTTTCGCCACTCACCAGGCCTTTGCTATCGACCAAAACACTGCCAAACTTTAGACTATTGTTCAGTGTTTGAGGGGCCTGCGTTTTCCATCACAGTCGTTTGCTGATGATAAATTTTCGTGGTATCCTGAGTGCTGCCGGTTGGCACGAGCGGTACAGCATGGCTTCATCTCTGGCTTCGCCTTCTTTCACTTGTCAACCAACTCACAATTACTATCATTATGCCTTTCTAGTTCTGATAGCTTTTCAGCCAACTCTGCTCGATATGATTTAAGCTATGAAAACACTGCAGGTGCCGAACTGAATGGCTTCTCGTCAGACGGCGTGTTCCGAAGGGAACGTGAATAGATACACGTACCTACATAATTCGTTGTTAGAGTTAAGTGATTATCCCAAAGTGATTGATGACTTTTTTTCGGAGCTCCACACCGATTGCCTAGTGGTCCAGCTGAGTCCAGGGCTGTTTTGCAGTTGGTGGCCTCCAAGTAACACGGTGTGAGTTCTTTTGCTGGAAGTTCTTGCTGGGGCGAGACGGCTCAGTGGTTAGAGCGCGAATTTACTGACTGGAAGGTCCGTGTTTCGAACCAGACCACTGGCTCTCGACTTAGCTGCCTCTGCCTTGGCCAACCTGGCAGTATCCCCGCCCTCGTGCTTTCTTCGGGTAGCATGGCAGCTGAGCACCGGAAAGGTGTTACAGCTGAGCGATTCTTGTTGGTTAGAAATAAATGACATGCAGCCCATGAATGGAGAGTGTTGCCCCCCATTGTGTGTTACGGATAGTGACTAGGTCCTGGTTGAGCGCGAGAACAAGACAGAATTGCAAGGGTGAAGCATGATTAATTCGAAACAATGTGATCAAAAAGGATAGCGATGATAGTACGGCAAGCGCCAATCCCGAGGTGGCTGCTAGAATGGGCTTCCCCTGGACTCTGACATCCACATCGCGTTTTAGAATAATCATATCAATACTTCTCAGTGACTGTGGCAACCGCAAAAATCTCTATGTGGTCTACTTTTTTCATTCCCAGAGCTTCCTTTCGTTCAAACGTGTGTTGACGCAGCATATAAACACCGTTCACCGCATCGACATGTATAGGCCTCAATTAAGCTAGCCAATCGAGCAACGCAAAGACGACTATTTACTGGGCTCTCCACGCTGTAGATACTACGAGATATTACTTCGGAATCAGCAGACGCACGAGAAACCTGGGTTCATCCCTAGCTGTTCGAGATATATGATCAAACTGGGGTCTTGCGTGTGTATTTCGGCGGCGCGACATACATCGAGAAGACAAGGTCTGAGCAAGACGTACCTGTTGTCCAATTTGACACAGTGCTGGCGTTGGAAGTAGCAATCTGGAACAGATCTTTTGAATCCAAAAAGGGTTTATTTTAACTTATTTTATTGAGTGGGAGTCTAGATACGGAGCGGCGGTTAGGTGATTGGTGGCTAAAAGTAAAGGACGTGTGAGGAGGAATCGGTGAGTGAAGAGCTCTAAGGGTGAGTGATACTTCCAGGTTGCCCAGACCTAAGAAGGGGTAACGCACTTTGTGACCTTAACTCAAGAGTCTTATGTTCAGCGGGAGGACGTAGTGTTTTGTCCGGCAACAGTTGAGCATCATCATGTACAGCGGGACATCACTGTTCAACACTAACGCCTTGATGCGATGAACCATAATTTACTAGAAACCCTCATTTTTTTAGAAAACAATAAATGGGGATGGGAGAGAAACCTAGTGCTATCTTGCCACAATCATTCCGGAGTGCATACACTTTCAGAAATTCATTCAGACAATCCGAATAGAACCTGACAACACCACTATCATCGATTAGCAGCCATATCAGGAACCCTTCCAGCCTCTGGTTCAAACGACAAGGTGGAGTTTGTTAGGGTTTTCCTGAGGGATCCAATGATTTCATAGTCTGACCCATTTGGCAGCAGGGGACTGGACTTGCCCTTAGGCGCAGAGAGTCTAACTTTTGGTGCTGATACGCGTGACATAGGGACTCGCAACTGCACCGGGTTTATTCCAAGGTTTTATTTGTTTTTCGATCATGCCGGCTAATACACCGACAACGATGCTCAACCGTCGGGTGATTGGAGTGTGCGACTTCCCTTATCGACCCCATCTAACTCGTCCCTATTCAAGCGAAGGAAGTGTCTCTGTTTCCTTAACTATAAACATTATGGGCGAGATGGCTCAGTGCTTAGAGCGGAAGGTCCGTGGTTCGAACCCGATTTGTGCCTCTTGACTTCCTCTGTCTAGGCTTGGGCAACCTGGCAGTATCCCAGTCCTCGTGCTTCCTTTTGGTGGCATGACAGCTAGGCACCCAAAGGGTGTTACAGCTGTGCGATTATTATTTATATGTCGCTTGTTATGGCCAGGAAGGGACTGTTTAGATCACACCTTTTCATCATCATCGTCATCATGGACAGCATAACATTAGTGTTCAAGACTGATGCACCGGTGGCCATACCTTCACGTTCCATCAAGTGTCAGAGCAACGGCTTGCGTAACGACGCCCTACAATCTTGATGTTCATTGAGTTGAGAAGTACGTGTAATTCTGTCGACCGGTTGGTTCCTTTCAACACCCTTACGCAATAGGGTATGCTCCAGAAGTTCGTGAATATCATGCGCTGTTTTTACTCTCATACTTTTGGGCGCGTGAGAGTGTTTGGGTAGCCTGTCACAGTTTCAACAGCTAAGGCCATTGAGCTGCAGTTTCGCCAAGGTTTTTCAATGTTTGGTAGATATGGACTTTGCGTAGTGACTCGCATAATTCTTCTACGAAAAACCCAGCACTAGCTGATCCTGGGCGATCGTTTGGTACTGCCGCCAGGGCTTCATCCAGGGATTATTCAGCATCCCAAACTGCAGTTACTTCAACGCCTGTTGAGAAGGGCGTTGTCTTTTGTGCTGAATTCAAGTGAGCGCATTTCAGAGGCGGGAAGCTGGAAGCTGTGAAGTATTGATGTTCAACACCTGTTTTGACGTCTTTACTTACATCAGATAAATCCCAGGATCTTGATCTGCACAATGAGACTTCTGTTGGAGCTTTGGTACAACTGTTTTCTCCCAGGTTTGTAGTCTACTGCTGTTAGCTACTGACAAGCACTTTTTTCCCGCTGCTTCACTGGGGATCTTGGAGTTTTCGCCTTACTCCTCAAACTTCCATGGTTGTATGACAGCTTGGCCCCAGTGTTATGGAGTGAAGGTGTCTACAAAACTGCAAACCTCGGGGTAGAGCGGTGCCAAGCAAATCCTTCAGGTCTTATTCCTTATCATTCCTTACATTCTGTCCTTAGGCCTCAAGCCACCCCGTTTGTCCTGTCAGTAATTTCTTTTTTGTGTATCAGCGCATTTCAGATGGCGATTTCTCAGTCTCCTGGCTGTGATTCCCCCGGCACAAACACAGAGGTTGTCCTAGCTCGTGAACTTTTGGATTCGCTTATGTCACGCGCGAATGCTCCAATCAGTTATCCTTTCATGGAGGAAGTTGATCCAGACGTTCTCGGACTGAAAGACTACCGCAAGATCGTCAAAGAGCCAATGTGGTTGAAGAAAAGTAAGTAGGCACACGCCTATGCTACCTCTCGTATTGATGCCAATCTAAATTTTCTACGATGAAAAAACCAACTTACTCTCCTCAACGCTTATCCGTCCAACGCTGGTCATTTTATAGTCTAGCTTCTGCCTCCCACCGCAGTAGAACAGATACCAATTGAAATCCAGATGTATTTATCTCCTTCCCTATGGGATGAACCTGAAGGGATTGGTCAAAAATGTCCCCCTATGGGTGTCTTACATGTTGTCATACATGTCTCGAAAGCAACATTCAAGTGACATCTCTCGATGGCCTCCATCTCCCTTCCCTAGGGGAACAATCGTAATTGGATTGTTTTTGTGGTGTATGGAAATTCGGGGCTGCCTGAGTCCCACCTAACTGTGTGCCAATGGAGCTTCGAGAATAATATAATGAAAATAATAGTCTCTCAGCTGGGTCAGTCATGAGTGGAATTTCTGAACCTCCCAGTTGAAAGTGGGATACTTTAACAACCTAAATGATGAAATCTAAACTTCACAAGTTTAGTTATTTTTGAGGTTAGCATTTCATCATCATCATCACCACCATCGACAGCATGACATCAACACTGATGCTTCACTGTCGTAGGTTAGCATTTCGCACCCCATGCAATACTTGAAAACTGGATGTTTGACTGAAATTAGGCCTACGAGTTCACATTTACCTGGAAATTGGTCTTCTACAGGTTTCTGCACCTTGATGCTTTGAATGGCATGAAGGCTGATATTCCATCCTGCTTAGCGAACGAGTTTGAAATTTCAGAGATACATGAATGTTATCTGCATGGAAATTAAGTTCTGGCTGTGACGACCGATCTTGCTGTGTATACTGTCCATAATATCAGTTGGGACTTCCACATCATAACGCTGAGCTGATGCAAGCTTTACCTGACCGTGGGCTCTAAAATAGCATTCTGCGTCCTGCTCCACTTCCGGACGTTGGTGAGTGATGGTCGAGCGATCTACAGGTCAGCAGTGTTAGAACGGTAAGCTCTACAGCATTTCAGGCCGCAGAGCCTGCGGACATCGTCACTTTCTAGGCTCGGGTGGATATAACGGGCTAGTGTGAGTAGACGGAGGGACGAAACGTGCCGCTCCGGTTGTTTTGTACATGTGTGCCCACCACAGAGCGTATGTTTCTCCACGCATACCAAATCTTCGATTTCTGGTTTTTATTTTCTCTTGATGCGAACGTTGGATACTGATTTATTAATCGTATATCAATTGTGAGTAGAAACTCCTGCTGTATTGCCATGCCTTCTGTTGATTATTCTGTTGCTTCGGCAACCCCAATCATTCTGGAAAAGTTTGACCTCTGGTTTTGAATAAAATGACGGGGGTTTTTCTAATGCTTCTTATTCTCCGTGCTAGTGGCTGAGAAATTCGCCAATGGAGTTTATCAGAATATTCGTGAATTCGTCTGTGATTTTCGTCTGATGCTTTTGAACTGTTATCGTTACAACGGTGTTTCCTCACGCATGGGGCGATGTGCAGAGAAGTTGGAGCTACTGTTTGAACAAAAGCTGCAGCTCATGCCTCAGTAAGTGGTGCTTTTTTGTTCAGATTAGTATGCTAAATTTTCAATAGCCGCTCTAGTTGAGGCTTGGTTCACCTGAATATCGGACCAAAATTGAAGGTCCTATTCATGGGTGCAGACCACTGATTGTATCCACCTTGTCCTTGTTCGTGCGATACACAGAACTGAAGTGGAATGTACCCAGAAAAAAACGAGGGTATATGTCGATGTTAGGCGAGTATTTGTGTACACTGTTCATCAAAATAAACATCTTGTGATGTGAAGGTGCGGTGGTTGTTACTTTTGGCCTTCCTTTAGACTCCAGCTATTCAAGGTCATCGCAGTACCAGAAGACAATATCAGGTCTACGAGAGTCAGAAATTGTAGACAGATTAATTAGCCAGCGGATATACACAATGTCCTGAGAGGAACGGTCACATATGCTGAGCTGATCAATGTCTTCCCTAGCCACTCCATTCCCTTCGATACCAGTCATAGCCCTCACATCCGTTTCATCTCTCGTGAACATTCCATTTTGCAGGGAAATACGGACAAAAACTTCCATCCAGGCGACTCTTGGAGGCGGAACAGCGGAAGAGGAATTGTCAGACGCAGGTTAGTTTATTCCACTTTGTCACGGACTCAGCTTGAATTTTATTCCCCTGCTTTCATATTACTCACTAGTAGTTACATTTGTTTTACAAAAAGATAGTTCAGGTTGCAACGGCGATTCTAGTCGCCAACTACTTGACAGCCCGGCGCTCGTTGCAGTGACCCGCAGAACGCTAGACAGTGCTAGGTAGATGATAACTTCGGTAGTTTCTCAAAGCGGATTTCGCTTCATATGAGGAAAATACTTGAATGTAGTTATCTCCCGAAGGTGCTCTTCTGAGGGGAATTTATGGTAGAACGCCTCAGGAGGCGACAACTTAGTCTGAGCACCACTCAAAAGTCTCTGCCAATGTCAAGGCTTGATCAGAACTGTGACCAGCGGTGGTTGTGCAAAAGCTTGCCAGTCTTAGAAACAATTGCCAAAATACACGAGTTCAGCCAGCTGCTCTGTCCCCATTGGCCTGTCAGTGCTCCAGAAGAGACATCTAAGTGCCTAGTGATGCAGATTTTGTGGGATATTCTAGTGACTCTCTACGATCGGTTTTCGGGGGCTAGCTTTCGGTGAATGTGCGAACTTATTTTGTCCAGCTAATGTATGTACGGAAGATTGAGGAAAAAACGACAGGGGCTGCATAAACTGAGTATGTATGATGACTCACTGTGGATAAGCTGCACGACAGTTTTTGTTGCGTCCGTTGGCCGAACAGCCATTTGACGCGTGAAATCTTCAACACACTCTTAAGCTTTGAACGCGACCGGAAGAGGAACCTGTTGGTTCTCGATACTTTCTTGCTAATAAATGTTGCTAGTTTTGATGGTGCTTTTTACCGACTTTTGAAGAAGGCGGCCGACTGATCTTCTTCAAATTATTCTTTTCAATCTTTGTTTCAAAGGAGCATGATCCCCATCTCAATCTCTTCAGTTTTCTAGAGGAAAAAACAACGGTATTCAGTCAGTGTACTACTCTATGGTTCTTGTGCGTTACACCGTTTGATCACGATTGGTTTGTACTTTAGTAGTTTGTGCATGGCAATTGCTAGACACTAACTTGAATGGCCTCCATTGCTTCCAGGGATACCGCGACGTCGAAGTTCCAGTCGACTTTTCTTGGCCGGTGACTCGAGGCAACTGACTCCGATGCGTGCAATCATGGAAGAACTAGAACATACTCTGGAGCCTGGCACTGGTCTCACCGCAGTGCTTGTGACTGCCTCGACGGACCTGTCCAAATTCGCATCGAACAATTTGTTCAATTCCTCAATGCAGTCCTTGTCCACGGCGACAACTGCCGAGGAGCGCGTGGCCATTTTAATCGCTCGCCTTACATATTGGAATATTCGAAGGCAGGACGAGGCGTTGCTCACATCGTGGGACAGTTGGTGGACGGAACAGCAAGGCCCAGAATTAATCGATGTGGCACAAAACACACAAGAAGTTTGTATTTGGTTGAAATTTCCTCGAATAACGTCACTTTGACTATCTTGTGCCAGCACAGATAATCGAGCAGCTGTCTGCCCATCTAATGATACCAGAGAGTCGTCGAAGTCGATTTTGTCCTGACTTTAAAACAAGACAATTTTCAGGACTGGTTTTCATGAAGCCCATATTCTGCACCAATCCATTAGGTTGCTCGCTCGGAGGGTGCCACTAGTTAGGTTACAGAAATCCTCAGTGGTTCGCCACTCCAACTCCCCTTTTATTGGGTTGCCTGTCTATTTTCGACAGTTAGACTGAGCTCCAGAATCAATAGGTGGAATGAGACCCCGCATCGCTGTACTTCCCTCGCCGTATTTCTACCTGTTTGCATGTGAGGTCCAATCTTTTGAGTTTGCTGTGGTAAGATTGAATGAAATAACTCATGCACGGTGTGCAACTGGTTGGCTGCCGAAGCGAACTGTTAAATGTAAATTGAACGAACACGCCCAGTTGGCGAGAGAGTATTCGAATGGTAATATTGTGCTGTGTGAGAGCCACTGTTACCGATGCGAACTCGATGGATATGATCGGTGAGCCAACAAGAGTCATTTAGGGTTTAGCCTGTGCGACGTTGAAAACGATTATGTGCTTGTTCACTCTATACATCTAGGAACTAGTGTGTCATGTTCCCTTCGGTGCATCATTCCACGTGTTAGCTTATTACGGCACTTACTGTCCAGTAGGACCTTTCAAAATGCAACGCATTCTGTCGTGTGAGAAAAAGGGAGACGGTCTGAGAAGCCAATGATCTGACGCGTGCAAGTGCTGTCCATAACCAAACGAACTTGTTAGAGAGCTACACTAAAGGTTGTTAGCTAGAAAGTCTCGTGTATTGTCAAACTGATTGGCTAATTCCAGCGGGGATATTTGTTTGTTCATTGATACTGCTAAGTCACATATCCCAACATAGGTGAAATCACGTAGGTCAGATGCGAACTGGTTAGGTTGTCCAAGTGTACAGACGCTGAACTGCTGCCGATTGGAATGCGTGAGTTATACTCAGCCAGAAGTGATGAATCGGCGCCCATTTATCCAGCACTGGGCAGTCTGCAGCGCTGCCACTGAAAATGGCAAATTCCTCTTGAGAAATAAAGATGTCTGAACGTGCCTGGTCTAAAAGTTGCAATCCGTGATAGATGGTGGTGATCCTTGTTGTGGAAATATCCGAATCTATGACAACCATGGAGTGATCGGTGTGTTATCGGTGACATCGTTCCTGATGGCACCAACCAATGCTCTAGCTACTCATGAGTAGCCCAATTATATAGAAATTCATATGGCATCACGACATGACAGCTTCCCTGGCACTTAGACCAGCGGTCTCGCCCATACCGGCTTACCTTGGTTTCTGAACAGAAACCTAGACATTCCATTGGCCACATTTCGACTACGGCGTCCATCTGCTCACTGCAAGTCCTCTTAAATCGTGGCTTCAGGAAGAGAATACCAGCACCTTTATCGGCTGATCATTTTCTGTGCCAAATAGAGCCTAGAGACTAGACTTCTATACATGCGAATTCAAGTGTTAGTCATACTAGATGAACAAACCCAAGAAAGACCTGTGCCTCCAACCCTGGCGTCTACCGCTTGTTCTCAAACAAATTTATCGAAACAAGCATGTATCACAGGAGAAGTTTTGAGTATGGTTTATATGGTACATATATATATATATATATNATATATATATATATATATATATATATATATATATATGTATATAAGTTCTGACTAGCATGTGTATTCCACTTCGAATGACGCAACAAACAGGACTGAATTTACCCCCGACTAGAGAGTGATCGAAAACTATCGGACGTTAGGCCACCATTAAAAAAATTGATGTGTGAATATATCGGATAATGGAACAATCCGTCATAAGCAAAATGGCGAATCAGATCTGGTACGCCCAACATGGACCAAATGAACGTGTTATCAGGTTGACACGCAATCCTCAGTTTCGAACAAAAATCAATAGATCAGGTTTGGAGTAAATTTGACAGGCATAACGTCATAGGAGGTAACAAAATTTGTACGAACTAATTACCATACCGATCATATCATCAGTGGGTTGAACGGAATCCAGATTGCATGGCTGCTGTCCTTTGATCGTCGTTACCCCACCGCTAATCGAACCGCAACCTACTTATCCTCAAAGCATGCCTTGTGGTCTGTACTATTCGCTCGCGATCGAGTTTTGGAACCGTTCTGGTTTCACTCACACGCGCTGTATACACACACAACCCAAGTTGATTTTGAACACGTTTAATTGGGGTGAGCTTCAGCCTTTCGTCATCTCATATTGTTGGGAACCGAAGTAACATCTGCATCTCTGGAGTAACTTCCTCACGAGCTCATCCTGATTCTGGTACAAACGAATTTTTCATCCGTAAAGCTCCTGTCTCTCGCCTGTTACCTGCATTCTGTTCCCAAGATTTAGCCTCATTGGTCGATGTCACGATGAGAGGCAAAATTTCCGCATTTACGGACTTTCCTGTGTAGCAGAGTAACAATGAGATTCGATACTGTTCAGTTTCAAATGTTGCGAGAGTTCAGATAAAACCAACGGTGAACTTGGTCGATTTTGTTGGGTTTTCCGTACCCTTCTGACGTGCAAGAACACATGACTGCACGATAACTTTTGATGGTTACGTTACCAATGATGATGTTCAACTGAGCCACGGCGAATTCAGACGTTATGATAGTCTGAGAGAGAACCCTTCCTATCAGCATCGACCTCGTGTGCGATCTTTGCCGAGCGAGCGGAGCCATGTACCCATTTCCTCATGGATCTTTCTCTAGCGCGATTGCGCTAGTTGTTGCCCCAGTCGGCATCACGTATGTGCTCACTGGGCCCTTACTTCATATCACACCTGGTCCAAACAAGCTCCGGTTTTCCTCGACAAGATGCTAGGGGGCGTTCTTTTAAGAAATTTAAAACGTTGAGTCCCTTTTATTTATTTTATGAAGCCAGATAGAACAAATATATAGTGGTAAATGTTTTCTCTCCGCCTTGACGGTGACTATTCGAATTCAGCAACCTGATAACTGTGTCAACGGTATATCTGGTCGCAGGTTTGTTGGAAAATAGACGGACTTCGAGTGGCTCCATCTATAGAAATTGCAGAGTATGCATGCGCTTCTTCCCCTTCGTATTCCTGATCAGTATATGGTGGGGACTAATATGCTTCGAGTAGGCGACTTTACGATCGTGTATGTGTGGGTCAGTGGTGGTCACAAAGTTAAGTTCAGTTATTTTACTTATTAAAGGGCAGCAGGTCTCTTCACGTTTCTGTCCGTTGAGAAATATTTGAGGCTGACGATGATAACTCACCTTTGATTCGTGGACAACAAATTAAAGATCCCAAGATTAATGTCTCTCTAATCCGCCTTAGCACGTCACTGGCTGCCAAGATGTTCTTGCATGTAGTATAAACTTGTGAACTGTGCTGCTTGCACCGATTTTCTTGTGCCTTTTAATACCCGGGCATCGTTTACCGACCAACGCTTTTGTTTACGGGCTCGTGCCCCCTTATACTAATTTGGTCTTTTTGTGTTCCCCCGTAGCTTTTGGAGACATACCAGTTTCTCTGGTTGGCTGACCCTTTTCTCGGACTCACCGAATCGCTGGTCTACTTTACTCCCCAACCTCCCGTTATCGAGGTTAATCCTGCCCCTGCCCGCAATCTTGGCTTATTGGATTTAGAGTTCGCACTAACTGTTGCCCCCCGTGCTAGCCTGTTATTGGCTACTTGCATGAGCCACCTACTGGCCACAATCAAAGAACGTGGTCGAATTGTTGCCGTTCTTTCGACTGCCGATGGCCCAACAGGCGATCCTATCCAAGATCCTTCCAATGACAGCAGACGGCTGCGAGGCACCCAGAGCCGCGTTACTTCGTGTCTTTCCCCACTGGAATATGATGTATGGGAACGTCGCCTAGCCGCACGAGTGACCTCTTGGTACCGAGCCCTCTGGGATAAAGGGAAAGGTAACCCGATTTGGGTGAGTCTACAGGTTATTGCTTATGCCTTTCATTCGGTATACGTTCCTGCGTGAAATGCATTGTGGACCTTCGAATTATATGTTTGGAAGAGATTTGTCATGTTTGTCGTTAGTACTATTTCCACATAACTACTACAGAAATAAGACAAAGTTCATGGACTGCCACCCTTTCGTTATCAATCGTATCATTCGTGTACTAGAAGCATTCAATATACACTAAAATGGTTGACAGAACAGATCAGTGAATAAACAACTCAGCTTTATTATTCTATCGTCAAGGCAAACTGATGATACATGTTCAGGTCCTTTGTATGCATGGACTCGGTCGATGCTGATTGATCGACCTGGTATCACCAGTTACCATCAGCTTTTGATTGTCACTTGGGAGTAAAACTGAATAATTTTGTACGACTTGGACGTTTCGCGATCGATAATGCGGGTTTCCTAGCCTGGTCGTGGTCTGTTTCACTCGATCGATCGGTCAGTTGACTCGAGCAGCGCGGCACATGCTTCAAGGCACGTTCACCTAATGTCCGGTCTATTCTGCTGATGGATGCTGATGCAGGTGAGCTGATAAACGTGTCCTGTGTCAAACTGTCCAACTACGACCAACCTGTGTCAGGGCTGTGGCAAGTTGTTCGCTTTTAACTTGTGGTCTGTGAACTGCGTCCCGGTGAGGCAATAAATCTCTCCGGGTAACTGTTAGACACGGCTCGATTTAGCTTAGTGATTAAGGCGCCAGCTTACGGACCAGAAGGTCCATAGTTCGAACCCAACTTCAACATCTGTCTATGCTTGGGCAGCCTAACAGTATCCCAGCCCTCCTGCCTCGCTCCATTGGCAGCTGAACGATTGTCATCATCAGTTCACCCAACTGTGCACTGATGATGTCTCCTCGTATTGTGACGAATAGCTTGCAAGTCAATTGCCAAACTCGGTGAACAGATCAACAGCCATCTGATCAACAACCAATATTATCATTATTAACTGTTAGACATGGTCATCTGCAACGAATTCTCCCTTCTTCTGGAGCGAATCGGGAGCTGATTCCTGTGTCGTGTATGAATAAACTGCGCGCCAGGCCTCTCTCATAACCTATTGGAAACTGGAGTACGTGCTGGCTTTCCGTACACTGTACATTTGAGCGTTTAGCAATACAAACCTGGAGAAATGCGAGACTGTCGTTACTCTCCGTCTCAAGGTTACGGATAATTTAGGACGTGAATGGTTAATGCGGTGGCAAAAGTGTTTAGAGTCGGTGTTTAAGCTATTGTCAACATTCCGTTTTTAAGATAGTTGTGAACCAATTATTTTCAGGTATTCGACTTCCAACCACTCTTGGAAGAGCTTCAGCTGAAACAGGTCCATTGGCTACTATGCCATCAGTCCACTATGGTTACTCGAAATCGGAGGGAGTTCTTTCAGCTCTTTAGGTTAGTCTGGCGATGCAACTACGGAGAGTTGCTTTTTGACCGGGTTTGAGGCCTGTTCTTTCTAGAGGGAAGTCAACGCTGAAAAAGTTCAAACCGAAGCAAGCGTTGTGGTGGGTTTTTTCAAGGGGAGTCCCTGTTTCTCTGTCAAGGAAATGATCCCGGTAGGATAAAGTTCTCGTCACATCTACTGTTTGCGGAAGCAGCCCCCATCAGAACCGAGGAAGAAACATTTATGGTTCCCTAAGTGGCTAGGTTCGCTCTCCAGCAGGGAACACAAATAACGGTAATGCGCGCATACGTAGTCCCTTACGTACTAAACAAATGTCTCACTGAACGGTCGATGTTTTAGGCATCGTTGACACACTAGTCTGCCACACTGCTCTTTCGTGACTGGATATAACTTGAATTAGGTCTAGAATTCACATACAGCATCGTTCTGGAGAATACATAACAGTTACGCTGAGTGCTAACTCGATGATTACCAGGCTTCCAATGGATATATTTCATGGTTCTTGCTTGAGTCCAGCTAAGCGGCACAAAAACTCCTCGTTGTGACTCACCCGGGTGACGAACTAATGACCTTTGTGTTGGCTTATCAGGTTTCACTAGTATGTTGCAGTCCTACATGCATGTGGCCATTGAATATCTTGAACAATTACTTATCCGAACGTAATATTTTCTCATATCGCATCCACAACAGCGGTATAAAACACTTGTATTCGACCCGAATTTTATTAGTGGGGCTCAGAAAGCACATCATACAGATAGTCCCTTCACGAAGACTACTCACGATTGTGTAGGTATTCTGGCATTTTCTAGAGCGTTTAGGAGGACTAGAGCCACCAGAAAACCTATGATATGAAATCTGCACTTGCTCACTGGTGGAAAAAATGGGTTTGGTTTTGAACGTCTCGAACCGGTTTTTGAACCAACGTTCTTCCCAACAGCAAATCTTGAAAAGCTGCTGAAGCGCATTTTCCTCAAATGATCAGTTGAGGTTCATAAGGTTTCAGTGATTTATACCTTTTCCCGGTGCTTAACGGGCCGGTTAGTGGATTGTCAACTCCAAGTGAGATATACAATTTTTTGTCGTATCTTCATTGTAGTTCATCACAAGTGGGTACACATGTTGGGGTAATTGAACTCGTTAGGTCAGCTGTTGAAAATTCATTTCTCTTTAAACTGAGTTAGCCCACTGCTCCAGGTTTGCCAAGCTCGTTGAGAGATATCTGATAGACTTGTCACTCGAAGTCAGTAGCATTGATCGAAAGTCGGTCGGAAACCCTTACACCTACTTGAAGAGTCGCTCCAGAGAGCAACGGAATCTACTGAACTGTTTTTGTTTTATATTACGGTTTAGATCACTTTTTTGAGATGCTTCTACTTTTCTTCACGCATTCAGGCGACCCGTCGTCTTGGATTGCCACCTAAGTTCTTTCACCGCTGCGGGTTTCGACAAAGTCCTTTGGACTCGAAGCGGTTTCATGAGCTCCCCGTGTACATTCGAATCCAGCTGTTTTATGCGCTGTGTGAAACGGTTTTGGTAAGTGAACTTACTCTATGTTTATTTCGGGCTTTACATGCTCTTTTAAGAAAGCCCGCCAACATAATTACATTACTCACCACAAAGATCCGTCCAAGCGATTCACCACTCAGGGTACGAGATTGTTGGGCATTTCTAAAGTGATTTGTACATCTGGTTGTTCGAATGATTCGATCAACTTAACAAAAATCTGTCACGCTAGCAAGCCTGCGCTTTCGATCAGTGGCTCTTGAGGCATGTTCAGTCGTTCCACCTCTTAAGCTCCTCAGTTTGATGTCATATTGTGCTGAGACACCTGACAGATACCGTTTGCCGAGCATCAACGTGCCGTGAGCGATGGTATGCTTTGAGCTTGATTACATGGCTACTTGAGATGCGCGCTCGCTTAATTCAGGTCTGGTTGTACCTACCTCATCTTGTACTTTTTCTTGGTAAGGCCTCTTGGCCTCCGGTTGCTTTCTGCGAACGCCGATTCAGTGAAAAAGTACCGTGTATGATACGTGGAGTCACCGGTTGACACCAGCTCGTGGGGTCAGGTAATACGGCTTTCACGGTGGATAATGTTGGTCGGTTAGCCTCGATTTACCCCGGTTGGTGTCTAGCCGTGATGGCCCTAATTGGTATGGTTTTGTATGCTGTGGGGTCGGTCATTTAAAAGTACGGTTTGTCCAGCGTCAGTAGATCGCAGAAATCGTTCGTAGGCAAACGCCTAGATAATTGATCAAATCCCACAGGGATGTACAACTCAGCATCTTATGCGTGCCAATAGAGGATAGTGCATAGCATGAAAATAACCGATGTTTAGGTCACCCATTGCCTGTCTGCTCTTCTCGTTCTCGTTCAAGAAAATGTAAGTTCAGACTCCAAATGCAGTCAGTAATGATTCGTCATTTTTACGTGCTAATGAAGATGTGCATTTTCTCCATTTGTTATTTGCCCTGGGGATTTCTTGTTTTCAGCTTTTGTTTTGTGGGTACCTTGAATATGGGCTTATCGGTGGAGTTGTAGGCTCTTTTGGAAGTCAACCGTTTGGGGCCTCCCATCAGTTTGGGGACGCTGGTTCGCCAAAGGGCCATTCGACTGATTACCGTACCTGGAAAGCTATTATCCCGCATTTCTTGCTTTTGGTATTCCGAACTTTAACCGCAGTGCGTTTGACTTATGTCCGTCTTATCTAGACCGATTAATTTTGTTCAGTCTGTATACATGACTGCGTGCATACCTACCGGCCATTCGGTCGAGCAATAAGTTAAGTGATAGTAATGAATCAGTGGTGACGGAAAGCTGTCATCCATGGAAGTGCCATAGCCCCATCCTTAGGAGCACGCCAGGCCGCTCCAGGCTTCTAAGTTGGGTTACGAGTTTACATCCTGACTACGGCAGATACACGTCGTGCGCTGAAGAGCGGATTGAGGAAAAAACTTAACAACCGTACTTGTAATTTGTGGCATGCTGTTTCTCTTATTTTTACCGGCCTCCCGTAATTTTGCGTTTGTGCAACTGGAAATAGTCAGTTGGCTGTCTCGCGTGTTGCGCACTACTCTCACACTTGGTTAGTAACACAAAATGATATATCAGAATGAGAGCTCGAGATAGCAAAGCGGTTAAGGTGCGAACTTGCTGACACGAAGATTCGTGGTTCGAACCCAACCCCACCATCTCAATCGCTCCTAAGATTGGGTGACCTGGCTGCATCTCATGCCTCGTGTTTTCTTCTGGTTGCAGGACAGCTAGGCATCGAAAGGGTGTTACAGTCCAATCTGTAAAACGTCTTCCCTGGGAGACGGTTTGCGGCCCACAGCGCGGTAATCTTCAGGTCACTTGTGCCGATAGACGGCCGATGTATAATTTGACTAGTCGTGACTAGTCAGGTTGCTCACCGGAATCCCGGCCGCTAGCACAAATAATATCTTACAAGCTGGTCGCCTTTTTTGTATAAAGTTCGACTTCATTTACTACATTATTCACTTTTCGATCCGAAACCAACTACGCGTTTCTTCCACCTGTGTTTTCTTTAGATCTAAATTTGACCAGTGGGTCTTATTGTTTGAACTCCAACTGTTCATTTCAGCGCAGTTTTGATAACTTGCGGCTTTCAATGGAGCGAGATGCTGGGTGGGAAGCAGCGGCACCCGTTCTCCTTGGTGAAGATATATTTTCCAGTGTGACCTACATCCACTTTCCTGGCATGCTCGACTCCACCGCGGCCACATTGAATCGAGTCTACCGAGTCTCTCGTTTAAAATCCGGACCGGTCGATTTACAGCAACAAAGCAATAAGTCATCACCTTCGCCTGCAACAGAATTGGAACCAGTTGCTTCTGAGAAATCCGGCTTCGACTCTTCCACTACGGAACCACTTACAGTGTGCAAGGTTGAACACCAAGCTTCTTCCTCGTCCTCTGAAGAGCCGGTTGAAATTGCAGTGCCTACCCGAGCCACCAGAGGCAAGCGTTCACGGAAGCGCAAGTTTACTCATAAGAAAAACCATTCCCAGTTGGAAAGCTCAGCCGCTGAACATAACCGCCTAATTGCCGAATATGGTATAGATGTTCCGGGCCCGGTCGGACGTTTACCTCGATGGATTGATCCGTCCCTTGCGCGTTCCACTTGCCGAAGACTGCATGGCATTGCAGGTCAGCTGAAAGCCCTACAATCACTTGGTGGTGCAACTCAGGAGAAGTCTCGTGGACGCAAGACTTCACTTCTTTCCTTCACAACCTCTTTGCTCGAACGGACTTTCAACGCCCACGGCACTGGTAGTGAATTGTGGTCCAAGTCATCAGGGCCAATATTTCTCACCGCATTTCATAGACTAGACAGTCGAAAAGTGGCGGAATTAACGGCGGAAGAGCCTGCATTGGTGCCATCCCCTTTCGGAACGTTATGTGGCATGTCTCGTCGTTATCTTTCAATGCAACTCAGTCGAAGCTGTAAGTTTTTCGGCCAATTTGTGACTGTTTTATTCCTCACAACACTTTACTACGTTGAAATTGACAACCTAGAGGAAGATGAGTCTTTATCTGAGTTCCCTATGACCATGCACACGTCCCTATCAGAGTTTTGGACACATGTCTGGTTGGCATCGAAGGCCACCCGCGGTCTTGTCACTCCAGGTAATCCGTATAAGTGACCCACGATTCTAGTATTCCTGGATTTCCGAGGCGCATTCGACTCGGTTGACCGGTCTGTTCTTCTTGAGACGCTTGCCCACCAAGGAATGCCCCGGAA